AATTCTTTGAATAATTAGATTTAATCAATTAATTTTTATTAATTATAATTAAATTACTGTATTGTCCTCCCAAAAAATCATGTAAATAAAATTTCAGCTTAATTGAGCGCTTTGAAATGTATTTTAATAACGATTGAAAATTCCACCAAGATAAATAAATAAATAAATATATATAGAAATCGCGAGCTAATAGTAGGAATTGAATAAATTCAAAGATATTTTGCCATACCTCAAGTTCTGTGCTTAAACTTACCTATTATACTATTGAAAAATACTGCGTTACTAACAAAAATGAAGAATTTTCTTTGTTTTTCTTACATTTTTTTCAACTAATAATTAAATAAAGCGAATGTTTTTTGTATCATTTTGTTCACAATTTTATGTAGATTTTAGATCAGTTTACGAATATTAAATATGTTTACAAACTCAGGAGTTATTCATCAAAAACCGCGACTAAAGAAACACAAGTAGTTTGCAGAATTGAGATGAATTACAATTAACCAATTAAATAAAATCTTGTGTTGGCGAATCAACTTTCCGGGATTTTTCACGGAAATTTAATGCAATGTTTTGTTTCTCGGTAAATCGTTTGGGTCATTAGCTCCAAATACAGTCTAAATAATATAAAAAAAAATTTTAAGAGTCAATTCCTACTTATATCAACAAAGAAAAATTTTATTTTAGCTACTTTTTCAATTCCTACTATTAGCTCGCACTGTCTACAGTGGGCCACAAAAGTACACTTGCAATTTCTTATAAAATTTAATGTTTTCGACTAGTAAAAATTAATATATTGTAATTGTAATTTTTTTAGGATATCTGCAACTTGTTCTTAATGGAATGACATATTTAATTTTTTTTAAAAAAAATAGTGTAACTATTTTTTAAAAAAATTAATAATCAAAAAGCTACTAAGAATCTACGCCACACAAAAGTCTTCGTACACTTAACAAAAATCTTAATTTACCTTAAAATATTGTATTTATTTCTTAATTTAGTACTTAGTGGGATATCTTTTAGTGTCCACAATGACTCTTAAGCGTCTTGGTATAGATTTAATCAGTTTTTGTAATTTCTGCAACGATTTTCCACCATTCTTCTGTGATTATTGTTTTTACTTCGAATTTAGTGTTTATTTGTCATGTTTTTACATCAAAATCTCACCAATTATGCTCTAATAAGCTAAATAAAGTGATTGAGGAGGTGTTTTCATAATCTGGGGACAGTTATAGAGACACTGGTGGCGTACATTGAGGGCAGTGCGCTTGGCGTCATTACCCTTTTAAAGAATTAAGTCGTCTCTAATATCCAAATTTCGGGCGTATAATTTAAAATTTCTTTTTAAAATATTTAAATAGATCTCATTATTCCCACAATACCATCAAAAAATACCAAATTACCTAATTCTGAGGCCAATTTACACCCCACGCCAGAACACCTTCACTTCCATGCTGAAGCATGGAGGTGGAGGAGTTCTTGTTCCACATAAATTCATGTGATTAAACTTCTTATTTTTTCATTTATAAGCTATTATAGGCCCATCGGAACCCAAAATGTTGAATTATCTGCCATCTTAAACAATTTGCTGTCAATTTTGAATTTTGTGAAACTTAATCCCAAGAATCTAGTTGGATCAATAAAATATGGAGGTGGAAATGCTCTTGCGTGGGGGTGTAAACCGGCCCCAGAATTAGGTAATTTGGTATTTTTTGTTGATATTGGGAGTTATGAACTCTATTTAAATATTTTAAAGAGAAATTTTAAATTACCCGCCCAAAATTCGGATATTGGAAACGACTTAATTTTTTAACAGGATAATGACGCCAAGCACACTGCTCTCAATGTACACCACTGGTATCTCTATAACTGTCCCCAAATTATGAAAACACCTCCTTAGTCACTTCTTTTAGCCCAGTAGATCATATTTGATGAGATTTTGATACAAAAAAAGAACATGACAAATAAACACATAATGTGAAGTAAAAACAATAATCACAGAAGAATGGAGGAAAATCGATGCAGAAATTGCAAAAAACTGATTAAATCATACCAAGACGCTTAAAAGTTGTTGTGGACACTAAAAGATATCCTACTAAGTACTAAATTAAGAAAGAAATACAATATTTAAAGCTAATTCGAGATTTTTGTTAAGTGTACGAAGACTTTTGTGGCGTAATTTTTTAGTAGCTTTTGGATTATTAATTTTTTTAAAAAAATAGTTATACTATTTTTAAAAAAATAATTACGTCATTACTACTACATTAAGAACAAGTTGTAGATATAAAAAAAATTACAATTACAATATATTAATTTTTATTAGTCGAAAACATTAAATTTTATAAGAAATTGCAAGTGTATGAACACTTTTGTGGCCCACTGTATATATTTATTTATTTGTATATTTATTGATTTTATCTTGGTGGAATTTTCAATCGTTAATAAAATACATTTTAAAGCGTTGAATTGAGCTGAAAATTTATATACAGGATCATTTTGGATGACAATACAATAATTTAATTATAATTAATAAAAATTAATGGATTAAATCTAATTATTTAAAGAATTATAAATACAGCCACGTAGGCGGCTTAGCGACCCTTTTGGCAACTTGTGTCAAAACTTGAAAAGGTTTTTTTTCTCACGTGTTAAGGCATTCAGTTGAATTGAAATTAAAAGGACAATACGATACTTTAATGATAGCTAAAAAAATTAATTACCACTTAATGTGTTATGATTCTGTCCTATGTATATACATATTTATATTAATTGTAACTATAAAATAATAAAATGTATTTTATTAACGATTGAAAATTCCACCAAGATAAATAAATAAGTATACAAATATATAAATAAATAAATATATAGACAGTGCGAGCTAATAGTGTAGGAATTGAATAAGACACTTACCTTTTGACATTAACTATTTTTTCGGACCAAAAATGACAATCTTCGCAATTTGCTGAAAACTCTGTCACCTGATAACGCAGTTTCTGCTATAAAACTAATCGCCTTCCCCGCTAAAATGCTCATCATAAAACCCGTGTTGCCATTTATCTTGGAAGAGTGGACTTAAAAGAATATTCCTGCTAAGAATCATCAGAGTATTCGTAAAAAGGATTATTCTATGTTATTTAAAGTTAGTGGTACTTACATGTACCGTCGGTAGATAAAGGGTTAAAATTGAGAGCTGCTAATATGCTTAATGCATAAAAAAAATTAAATCCTTCTATTAACTTGGATATTGAATCCACAAACACATTGGGAATTGTTATTAACACAATTATGAATTGATATTGGTCTAACTTGTATGTTAAGTGGATAATAAAACGGAGCTTTCTCTTGATAGGTCAAATAATCAACTAAACAAATAGGAGAAATTAAATACAAGAAAAATAAATTTACGAACTGAGGATCAATTTAAAGTCAGATTCTACGAATTTCGATATAAATCAACTTCAGCTCCATAACGGAAAATGCAGTTACATCTTTTCCTCGCGGGAAGAATTTAATTTATCACATTTCTTTTTCAGGCCCATCTTTCCTCTCAAATACATCCTCAAAACTATTATGTTTATTTATCTAGAATATAAACAGTTTACTTTATTTTCTAAGCTTATTCATATAAACAATTTCAGAGAATGAATGCTGGCTCGTTGGAGTAGCAGAACCATTGGGATAGTATAAACTATTCTAAACAAAGTAATAGAAATAGGAGAACTTCGAATAACACATCACAAAACTTTTATAAAGCGTGTAAACAATGTACTTATCATGAAATGGAAATTTTTCAAGGCTTATATGAGCTTTTGTTGAGATGCATTCAAATAACTTTCGTTTCAAATACATAATGTCTTTTTACAATTTCCAGTTAACTATTTATCGTTCAATTTATATATTTGTGCAAAAGGAATATATTATATAATAATCAAAATTAAAAACTTCGTTGTATAAATTTTTGAAAATAATTAGAATGAAGTAAATATAGAGATTATACACGAGGACCATTCTGAAATTTTTGAGATACACCTAGGTTTTTAAAGTTACTCTTACAAAATTTTAGGAGTGTTCAAAGTAGTTTCCTCCAGCATCTATACACTTTTGTAGACGAATTTTCCACCGATTAAATGCCTCAACAAATCTTTTCTTGGGACTTATGGGAAAAATACATTTACAGCCATATCAATCTCTCGTTCTGAATGAAAACGACGTTCGCATAAGTTCATTTTTAGATTAAAAAATAACGATGATTGCTAGCACACATTGCTAGATCCGGAGAATAAGGTGGATGCTCTCTGACATTAATTTATTTTTGTTTAAAAAACTCAGCTGCTTGTTAGTCCTGCTCCATGGGAAGATGCATTGTCATGGTGCAGCATTAGTCTCATAATATTCACTTCTTAGAGAATTTCTGGAAGATATTTAGTGGTGTGCCAGTTTGTTGTTGTTTTCTGTTCTTCCAACTTGAAGATTTTGATCAATCCCATACGTCTGAAGAAAACGACATACATTACTTTTTTCATTGTTCGTTGGCGTTTCACCATTGTCGGCGTAGGATAATCTTCAAAGAACCATACTTTGCTTTCTTGAAGTGTTGGAACGTCAAAACACGGTATTTACGTTTCATCACCCAATGCAATTTTAGAAATGATGAGGTGGCCACCATCATTTAGCAATTTAAGGGTTTCTTTACTAATTCTGACTCGCTCCTGTTTTTTAATTCCTCTACTGTTAGTTCACTCTCCCTATATATATATATATATATATATATATATATATATATATATATATATCTTGTTCAGATTTTCAATTGTTAATAAAATTCTTTTTATTCATCCACTCAAGTTCAAATACATTTTTTAAACTAGTAATGGATGACACCTGAAGCTAATACAGTTTTTCAAAAATTAATTCATTAATTTTATTTAATTTACTAATATATATAAATAGTAACAAAAATGATAATCCCAACACCACATATAAAAAGGAGATTTGCTCGTTGTGTCCCTGTAGCCCAATGGACAGAGCCCTGGACTTCTAATCCAAAGGTCGTGGGTTCGAATCCCACCTGGGATAACCCAATTTCTGAGATCGTGATTTCCTTATACTGTACTATTTTATTGGAATTATTAAATTTAATAATGAATAAATAGTAACAAAAAATAGTCCAACACACATCCTATATAGAAAGGAGAATGGAAAATCGCTTTCTGTTTTGCACTTAATAGTGTGATTCTGTGTGTCATATGAATATATATATTTATATTAATTGTAATTATTTGATAAAAAAGTAACTAAAATATATTTTTTTTTCTTTTTTGACCTAAGTAGGAATCAACTTAATTTTTCTTTTTTTATCACTTGCTGTGGTGCTCAGTTAGATTATGGGGAACCCAACGACAAAAACTACTTTTTTCATAAGTAATTCCTTATGGATAATTTTGTGTATGGCTGCATATACAATGTTAAGTTCTTTTTGTTTCATTTGGTACGTACAGCGATTATAACATACATTAACATTTTTCGTATGGCGGATACAATATCCGGAATTACTGCCGATCACGCCCTTCCCGTGTATTCTTCATTCTGAAGAGAATTACGACCCTTGCAAAGTTCTTTGAATTATCTGAATACAGTAACATGACATGAAGTTTCGTCCTCAAATGCTAATTGTAGCCGCTGAACCTATTCATATTGATTTAATCCTGCTTTTAAACCATAGGAAATCATAATATGATAATGTTCTCGCATCAACTCAATTTTCTCTTCTGTCTAAAATTTATTTTACTCTAAGCCACATGAAATAAGGTAGTAAAAATCGTCGGATGGGTTAAAATAATTTGTAATTTCAAATTAAGCCATTGGGTTTTTTTTTTTTTTGTAACTTTTAGTCTGCGCGTATCTCAAAAATTTAATTTACCCTTGTATCATAATAATTGTATTAAGTATATTATTATAAAATAAAATTATGTGATACTTTATTTCTAATATAGAACAATTACTACTTAAAAATTGTTTCTAATTTGAAAGGAAAGCTCAGTTTTCTTACGTCAAAGCCTTATGTTTGAAACGTCGGTTGTGACGGGCTTTCATCGCGATTTCCATGTCCTCTTGGGGTTCCTTGGCGCCAGAATGGCAACTTTCCAATTAACTCCAGAAGAAGAACGTGTGTATGTAAATTATGCATCTTATAAATAGTAGTTTAGCGTTCGTGGAGTAGCTATGTGAAGTTGCTATATAAGGTCTATATTTATGATTAGAAAAGCTTAAGTTAGAGTTAGAGGAAATTACAAGTTCAAGAATTAACCTACCCGTACCTGTGCCTTCAAGATAAAGGTGGATACCATTCCACAAGAATTAAAGCCACGTCATTGCGACCAAGAGAGTAGCTGTTACCAAGGAATTAGGCTTGTAAATGAACGCATTATACTCAGCACATAAAAAGTTTACAACCTTTCAAATTGCTTCATTAGTTCTAAATCATTCTGTGTGGTAATTTGGGTAAAATCAAATTTTTATTTATTTATTTATTCCATAATTACATACCTTTCATATATTATATCATTGTTATTATCCTCTCATATATATTGCAAACATCATCTAATTGAGTTATCAAATAAAAATCTATCTCAACTTCATGTTATCCCTTACATTACAGACAGTTTTCAAGTATAGAAAGTGAAATGTATTCTTGGAATTTTAAAGAATATTTATATATTTTATGAAATCTATTTCATGCATTAAATATCCTGCGGCGGCATTAAGAAAGCCGTAATAATACTGTTGTAATTCGAAGGTATGTCAGACGGTATCAATCATGGCAAACCTCATAAACTTTATCAATCAATAGGTTCATCACCTGTTAAATTCAAATTCAAATGAACGAACTTCAGGGGAGAGACGATATTGAGTTTACTGAAGAAAGTCAACAGAGAAAAACAGCAAGAAAAGAAAAAAGCTCCACATACAAAGCAAATATCTAAAATTAATTATCAATCGCACAGTGTAGTCAATTATTTGCAGCCCAAACAAAATAAATAACAAATCCAGATTCACTATGGAATATTTTTCATGTTTTAGATAATTGACAGATTCATTAATTGTGCCAATTGTAATTACAATAAGTTACAAGAATGAGTAATTGAAAATTCTGCAATTTTTCGACGGTTGGTAAAATCACAGTCTCAAAGAAATGAATTTTATTTTTTCTCTTTGTCCCTTCACAGCATCTCATTCATAATCTGACTTAATTGAGACGAATCTATTTCTGAATAGGAAACCAGAATATTTTATATAGCAATGATCTTCAACTTTTTTTTATCGCTGATGACAGGTCAACGTTTGTTAGTTTTACCACGGCCCACTGAGGGTGGGACATTGATTGGTTATATTTTAAATTGTTTAGATTTAATAATTTTAATTTAACTGCCTTAAAATAGGACATTAGAATAAAAAAACAGTTAAACAAAAAATGAATATAAAGTGATTTCCATGGGAAGTCACACAAACGTGACTTTCCATGGGCATTTATATCACAGTAAATAAAATGGAAATAATTTAATGTTCCTTGGATGGCTCCGGCACCATTTAATCCATGGACCGGTACTGGCCTATGGCCCGGGGACCACTGTTCTATAGGATATGTAACAATTTTCAATGAGCCAAAATACTTTTAAGAAATAACTGCTGAATTATCCATAATGATGGCGATAAGTAAATATTTTGTAGAGGAATAAAATAATTATCTATGGGAGAATCATTTTTACATTTAATAAAACTTAACTTTAATTTAACAACATATATATATATATATATATATATATATATATATAT